ATTGTATTCCTCAAGTATAATTATATGGTTATCTTCCATTTATGATCTGATGCAATTATTCTTCATTTGAAATATGTTATAAATCCTGGCCTGTACACATTAATGAGGCAAGATTAGGTCTGTCAAGAAATCAGAATCAGCGGAGGATGTAACAACTTTACTCAGGTCACAGCCCTGATGTAAGGTAAGGGGAGTTTTTCCTGTGGTATGATCTGCAACATCTTTTATCTTACAAGGGTTAAAAGGAGAGATGAGAGTAGAGAAAAACAAATCTCAGTACTACTAAGAAAGAAGAGGTAGGAGCTGGGCCCATCCTTTCAACCCAAGGTCCTTGCACTGAGACTCCTAGAGGAAGACTGATGCCAACAGGCACTGAGATCTCCAAGGCCCGCAGATGTTGAAAGGAGATAATGAACTTCCTCCAGGCCAACAAGGAGATAAAGCCTTCCCTTCTAGTATGGGCTTCTAGCCTCTTAAACGGTAAGAGAATAAATTTCTGTTTGTTAAAGCCATCCACTATGCCATTTCTATAACAGCAGCATAACTATGACACTCTCTTATCATACCCTCTTGTTTCTTTTAAAGCCCACGTATCTAGATGTTTGAATAATTTCTACTAACTTTTCTACAAATAGGATAGTCACCTAAGTCTCCTAACGCAGGAAACTCGCAAGATATTCAAACAACATCATTTCCAAAGAAACCTGCCTACTCCAATAAACCTTATCAAGAGGGATTACAGTTCTAAGGTGGGTATTCTCAAAACCTCAAATACTACTGAGCAATGCTCTGTCATTAGTAAACTAGTTATCAGAGTGGCCACAATACATTACAAAGCAATAATATTGCTTTCACATGCATGTTTCAACTTTGTGCTGTGTATTTAACATTTTTAATCACTATAATCTTCATTAGTAGTCGAATAAAATAGATATTTTGCATCCATTTTACAAATGAAAGATAAACCTTGAAGCATTCCTATTCTGTTTTCCACTAATGCCCTGTGTATTTCTATCATTATATGTACATTTATCAATTCACATTTTCACTATAATTTATCTGTTTATTTGTCTTTTCCCATACAAAACCAAAAGGAAGAGCAAACTCACTGCCACCTAGCTAATTCCAACTCATAGTGACCCTACTGGACAGTGTAGGGCTTCTCTACACTGGGTTTCTAAGGCTGTAAATCTTCATAGGAGCAGAAATTATCATCTTTCTCCTGGGAGTGGCTAGTGTGTTCAAACTATTAACTTCATGGTTAGCAGCCCAACACATAACCAATTACGTCACAAGGCTCCCTCCTTCTTTGAATGTAGGGACTGTGCTTTCTTATTTATCATTATCTCAATAAAAAGTCTAAACAATGGCTGAAGCACAGTATGCAAACAATCACTGAGATATATTAAATAATGTTCCCAAGATCACAAAGTTACCATAAATACGCAAGTATAAGCTGACCCGAATATATGTCGAGGGACCTAATTTTACCACACAAACGACATTAAAAATGTGCTGAAAAACTGTTCATACACAAGTATGTGTATTAAGTGGTGAGGTTGGAATTCAAAGCCAAGCTTCGAATTCCAATGTTAAGCTTTTTGCACTATACCACATACCTTCCAAAAAAACACCCAGGAATTTTAATACTACAAACAGAATTCCAGGGAAAGAATTTTTATATTACCCCTTTGTTATTTGTATAGCCTTTGGAATAGTATTCTTTGTACACAAAAAAATGTTTAGGCATCATCCTTCTAATAAGACTTGCAACTAGTAAGTGCCTGCCCAGTGACTTAAAATTACAGGCTCTGTTACAGCAAATAGCAACAGTGAAAAGAAGCCATTCAATGTGAGAATAGTTACATAACTCCAGCCATTTGATGTGTGGTGAACAAACGAGAGGGTACCCCAAAACACCAAGAATTGCGCTGGGCAGAATAATAGTAAGCATTTTTCCCCCTAGGCAAGCATCGGGCAAGTTGCTCTGAGTTAGTGCACCCAGCAGCATTGCCTGGAAAGATTATCTCTGATCACAGTGAATATTTTTGTGAAAGCAGTTTTGCTCAAACCTTACTTTTGTTCCCACCACACCGAGACAAAACAGTAAGGGGTGCAACAGAACAGCAAGGGAATGGAGCGGCAAGGTTCCCAGGGAATGCTGAAGGTGGACTTTGGGGCCAGGCCGTGGTACCCCAACAGACTGGACTGGAAAACACTCCTAAAGGCAACAAACAATCCTTGAACTAACTACAAGCTTTTCTTTCTTGTGTTTTGTTTTTTGTCATT